CCAATTAAATTCTTTAAAAAATTCATTATAAGCTTATAACGAAGTTGATATCCAGATCCTAGAATTCATTATATCAAAAGTTTTTGTAATATTATTTAAATTAATATTATTAATTATACTCTAATAAACTATAATTTCATTTTTTTTATTATTAAAAGTAATCTATCAATTAATTATTAATGAGTTTATATCCTATATTAAAAGAATTAAATAAATTTATATTTTTAAAATTTTAATAAATCAAATTTAATAAATTTAATTCTTATTAAATGACTAGGATTAATAAAAAAGTGAAGAATAATACTTAAACAAAATTTCAAGAATTATTATTCAATGTTTAAAAATCAATCACTATAAAAGATAACTATATTATTTAAGAAATAACAGATAGTTAATATCAATTATTTCAAGAGCATCTTAAAAAATTCTGCAATCATTTTATAAATTAGAAATAAAAAAGAAAACTTGAAGAAAAATCTTATAAATTTTTAAAATTATACATTATTCATAATTTTACAAACTTTTAAAATTTGTTTAGTTTCATTTTTGACTTTTTATATATTTTTTCAAAATGTTTAATTTTATTAAAAAATGATATTTAAAACCCATTTTAGTATTCTAAGTAAACTTTTTAAAAAGGTGAAAATACATATAATTTGTAAATTTTAAAGTCATATAAAGTATATGTTTAAGTTTTATTTGAAATAATAAAAAAATATTTTTTTTTTGTCAAAATTAATTAACTATTTTAGAAATAGATCAATGATTTTGTCATATGACTGCAGAATTTTTTAGGAAAGTTATAACATCACTGAATCATGTAATATTATATTAAAAAAGCTTAGATTATGTGATCTTATACCTTCCTGATTTCATTTTTTCTATATATTCTGAAAACTTAGAAATTTTTATCACTAAAAATTTTTGTTTCACTTCCCCTTAAATGTTACTAGTTAAGTGAAGGATGGAAATTTAAAATTTGATGCAATACTGTTAAATTTACTCTACGACATATATGTTTTTACTATTTAAACTGGGAACTTAGTTTTTTTTAGGGTGTGAAAACCTATTTGTCACACATTATTTGTCACAGACGCGACCCTAAACTTGTGGCGTGGCATTAAGGTTAGGTAAGTTAAGGTTAGTATATAAGTTAAGGCTGGTTTTTAGCCACATTATACATATAAATCATATGATCCGAGCTTTTTTTGATTGTGTTATTATAATATCACATGATCCGGTGTTAAAAAATATTCTTATTTTAATTTGGTAATTTTTTAAATTTTTTATTAATGTTTATGATCTAATAAATTCGATCATAATATTCATAAATTTAAAATTTTTAGCAATTGTATTGTATTATTATTATTAAGCGTGGAAAAGAAAAAAATTAATTACATGATTAAGAAAGCAAATTGATGAGGTATCTTTAAAAGAATTATTATGGTTAAAATAATAAATTTAGTTAAATATATAAATATATTCAGCTATTTGTAATTCCCCTTTATTTGGGACTTCAATAAAATAGAATCGACCCACATCCGGCAATCCGACAATTGGTTTAGCGAGTGGATACAACGGATCATTCAGAATTTGATAGACTACGAATGAAACCGCTTGAATTCCAGAACCTGCTGCTGGAGTATCCACGAATGTAAAAGAAATATCGGATGGAGGTTCAGTTGGTGGAAATTGGACATATCCAGGTTGAGCACGAATTACTAATCAAATATATGACAGATATATACATATATAAATTATGAATACTCAAAAAAAAAAAAATGTAATAAACAAAGACGTACGTGCTGCAAAGTATTCTTTTGTAAATTGTGGATTGATATTTGTTCTCGCATCACAACCCGCCTGGTTCCATTCAATAATAATCAACGGGTCATTCAAGTTATTAGGTCGTGATTTTGTAAAGTTAATCCATTGACGAACGATTTTTTTACTATTTTCATTGAGATTTTCATATGAAGGATCTTATGTAAAGAATAAACGGTAAAAGTCATGATGAAATGCTTGGCGTTTCGTCTCATTTATTCGGCAAAAATAATATCACCAACCTTTATTGAACTTTTTAGTAAAGCGTTTGGATAGCTCTTTGATATTTTCTAACAAAGTCATTCTGGTTAAGTTGCATTTGTAAAGAAAAAAGGGGGAAAAAGTTTGATATTTGTTTTGTTTTTATCTTTCATTTTTAAAGGTGACGTGACATTATTAAAAATGAGATAAGTATGACCAATGTCCCGTGACGATATGATCATCGTACATGTACATCTCACATGACCTCATAAATACAATTTTCTGCCAAATATTTAAGATCTTAACGTAAAAAATCCAAGCATAATGGAATAGAAGAGATGTTATAATACATCATGTCCCATTGAGAATCTGTTTATAACGACTGAGGGTCGAACTGATAATTGCATTTTTGATATTTTCATACCTTAGTAAACGATTTAAATTATAATATCATTTGACCAGCCAATATAAATCACTTCGATCATCACGGGAACATGTAAATTATAAGTGGATATTGATTCGCGAGTTAATCTAGAGGCACAGCATCACGGACGTAGTAAAGCCTGATTTTTTTCTTTAGTGATCCGAATGTTAAACAATCTCCACAATCTCCTTGGGGGATTATGAGTGGACTCAAATGGAATTGAAATATTCGTAAATCGAAGTTGATAAATACATTTTTGAAGTTTTCACATGTCAACATCAATTGTAATCCATAATCCTTCGAATAAAGTAGTCGTGATTTTGTTAATTGTTTGATGATTAAAGCTTTCGAGTAACACCAACGCCAACAACAACGCCATCAACTCCTATTGAAAAACCAATACAACAATATATTTCTGCTAAGAAGATTCGGGACGTAAATGTCGATCAATTTGCGTCCGGCTCAAAAATTCTGTACAAAATATCACCACAATGCTTCTTTAAAATAATCATGGATAAAGCAATCCTTAAAATCGATTGACCATTCCGTCACGATATGACTAAATTTATATTTAAAAAGACTATTCATATTTGCATTGCTTATTGTGTAACTGAATGAATTCGCAACGTGGAATGGAAGTGTTACATCGGTAATTTTGCGTGGTTATAAACTTGGAATATCTAAAAAATTTATAAAGTTTTCCGTTATATTAAAGCGCGAATTAGTAAAATCTCCTGAAAAAAAAAATTTTTTTAATGTAAACTTTAATGTCGTTATACAGAGGGCGATCAAAATTATCCGGCCACTTTTCAAACAATAAATAAATTTATATTGGCTTTATTATTGAATATTACAATTTACTTTTTAAGTTCAAATGGTGGTGGTATGATGTATTGTTAGATACTGTTACAAACGATATCCAAAAAATGTGCTTTATGTCTATTAGCACGTGATGATCTGCATAATTTTGGCCAAAACAAATTGGACCGGATCGCCCTTTTCGTTATAGCGTCTTGGACAATCAAATCAAAAAAAAAAAGTTTATAATTTAATTTAAGAAAAAGTATTATCGTTTCCACATTCTTTCTTTATTAGGTTGGATATGGAAGTTCATTCCTATATAAGGATTTAATTTCTTTTTTAATTTGATTAATTTATAATTCCATACAACTTCTATATCATTAATTTATTTGTGTCAACGCTATGCAAATCATAATTAAATTAGAGAATATCTTCTCAACAAACCTCGAGCAACTGCAAACTGCATTTCTCTAGATATTATCCTGAAAAATGTGACTTAAAACAATTGCTAAAAACGGTAAGTTATAATTTCGTGAAAATCGTAAATAGTATGCTTTTTATTCGAAATTATTAGGATCAAAATATCCGGATTCAGGTAGTATGAAGAATTAAAAAAAATATTTGCTAATGGGTAAATACTGTCAATTCTCATTTGAAGTATGTTTTTAATGAAACTTTGTCGTGGTTTAACAAGGAGTTTGTCATTATTTTATACACCATCCCTTTTAGTATAATTTCCCATGAGAAAAATCGAACCTTATTATGATGGTTTACAAGACTGAATTTCACTTCGCTAAAAAAAAAAAAGGAATTTCATTTTTCCGAAATTTTTGCCGGTTATGAGTTCGATGTTAGGAGATTTCTAGGGTTAGAGGCAAATTAGTTTGGGAAGGTACTAGTATATCATAATAACGATTCTTTAATCTGAATAAATTTATTCAATTCGTTACGTAATATCTGGTTATATCTGGTCGATCCGGTCAAATTTCATTTGAAACCTCCCGGGAGACTCCGTTAAAGGAAATATTATGAATTTAGTAATGTTTGACAAAGTCAATTTCTTTTAACCATTCCATTATTAAACTTTATTAATCTCTTTTAAATATCAAAAATTAATTCAACTATATCTCGTGGCGAAAAATTGAATTTATTTCTGTCGATCAATCTATCTATTTGAATTTTGAATTTACTTTAATATTTTTACGGGCCGGACTATGAGATTTTCAATAGATTTTGCCATAAGAACATTTCGTACTAAAAAATATAAAAATTAGCTAAATTTTAGATCGGAATGCCAAGGAATTAAATATGTTTTGATCGACGGCAATGTTGTACGACTTAAATTTATCTTGATAAAAGAAGCGGCAACGATATTTGATCCTTCAAAAAAAAAAAAAAAAATAACATGGTGTTCCAGAAATCCAAAAGACCAAAATTCATACGTACTGTCGGTGAAAGAAGTAGTGTATTTACTAGAAATTATGACAATTACAATGGAAATCAATACGTTGACATAAGTCCAAATGGTAATCGGATAGTAACGTTAGACACCACATCTTGTCAATTAAAATTATATAAGCATGAAGATCTAACAAACGCACATAAAGTAATAAATTATAATAATCGAAATATCAATATCCCATTTGGAAAAAAAAGTTGGAGCTTGTCCGTTTCCAATGAATTTACTGTGGCCGATGGAACTGTCGAAACATTAATAGCCGTATCATGTTTTGGTGATAATGATATGAAAATAAAAAAGCTTAAGTTAGAAACACGTCACGAATTTTCTTCAGTTGAAGAAGCTGGTTTGAACGTAAATAACCAAGATAAATCTTCTACATTCATTATTTCTACCTCACAGAATTTGAAAATCTTCACCCCAATTGATAATAAGGGTGGTATAATTAAGTTTTTAGATAATAAAGTTGATGATGATATAATCGAAATAGTTCTTCTCAACGCGCTCGGAATTACTAAAGCTTTCATAAAACTTAATACGATTGGAAGTGTAAGCGATATTAAGAGAGGTCGTTGGTCCAACCTTTTATATCAAGATAAATCAGTTGAAAAATTTTATTTTCCAAGAAGTTTTTTTAAGGAATTAAAAAGATTACCGGAAAATGAATCTTGTGCTTATTTCATTCGTCAAAGTTTGGTAAAAGACCGATTTGTTATAGATAGTTATAAAGATAAGGTACAATCCATTGAAACATTTAATTTAAAAACGAATAAGCTGGAAAATTTCTTTCAAAAACGTGAAGAAACCGTTGCTACAATTATAGGCAAAGGTAGTCCTTATTTTACGATTTCAAAAAATGAAACCTTATTAGCTTATTGTCGTGGTACAAACAGTATTACAATTTTTTTAATGGAAAATGGTTTGGAGGTTACCACAAAACAATTCAAAGAAAAGGATGTTATAAGAATTACCTTTTTTGATTTCGTTGAAAATGATAGTAAATTATTGATTGTTATTGAGGAAGAAAGAAATCACAACGAAATTTGGGAAACTGAAATTGTACCTGTTATCGTAATTTGGGATCTATTTAGTAGCTCTAATGATTGTGTTAGAAAAATTGATGATACATCCTCATTATTCTCCTTAGAAAACGATTGTCCTCAAAGAGTGGCTACCGTTTCCGGAAAATTCATAAGAATCAATGAAGATGGAATGATCTTTTCGGCATTTGAAAATACAAATATAGTTAATTTATTGAATCCTAATAATATTAATACGAGAAATGTAATTAACTTAACTTCACCTGAAAAATCTAATATCATTACTGGCACTTCTTCATCAACGGACATCACATCTCCTTCCTTAACAGATTATCATTTAATTTATGATCTTCTTGGAAATCGTATAGAACATGAAATTTATAAAATGATCGTTGACGATCCTGAACCTTGGGTACAAAACAAGTATTACCATCGTATCTCGATTTATCTTGATTCGAGTAAAACTACTCAGTTAATTGTTGGAGAATCCACCGTTCAAGTTTGGCGCAAAAAGAAAGAGCTTGCCACTGATACTTCATCTAAAAGAATTCTAGAGTATATTTGGACAAACCCTTTTAACGAAATGCATAGACAGATGCAAATTCAATCTTTGGAAGTTGCTTATAGGGAATTCTCTTTAATAGTATTTATTCCTTCCGGAGTTTCTCCTAATCAACCTGGACAACAAGTTATAATTGAATGGCCTGATAAAGTTAATGTTCCGGTAGACGTATGCAAAGCATTGAAATTTCTTGATCAGCAAAGTAATACACTTTCAGGTCCAAAGAAACAACATATTTTTGAAAATATGGTGCAACAAACTGAAAATATCATCAAGAAATATTTAGTCGGAAATAGTGGATTATGGAGAATGTTGGATATTCGTTATGAGATTATGGCCCATCTTATTCGAGGTAATCGTGTTTCCATTATCAGAGATATTTTATCTTTTGAAACTAAAAATGGAAAGAATAAACATTTACATATTCCAAGACTTTATTCCTGGAATGGGCAAGCCAAAGAGACAGATCTTGAAATTGCTATCAAGTACACGCAGGGAGGTTATCGTAAAGATACGGTTATTGTGAAATATTTATTAGATTATTATTCCGATAATGCCACAAAAAATTCGAATTGGATGTTTACAGTATCCAAAGCAATTCCCCTTCTTTATGAATATAGATTAGAATATTATGTTAAGGAATTATTTCAGAAGCCTTGCTTTGGATCTAACGAAATTTACTTGGATAGAACGGATATTAATATTGAAGATATAATTAGCAGTGATCACAAGAATGTCCATGCTATAAATATAGATACAAGTCTCACCAAGAGAAATGAAGATAGTATCTATAAAAAATTGACATTTCAAAACGAATCAAGGTAGGATTAATGGGAAATTTAAATTTGTTTCAACAAAAAAATGAAATTTAACTTTTTTTTTCTTATTTTTTTTTTTTTTTTTAAAAAAAAATGAAGTTTTAATAATGAACATCATCAAACAAAAAAAAGAAAACCTCTCAAAAATTTAGATCAAGTTTACATGGTTCCGCTCCCAGATTTTACTGTATATCCTGATGGGATCCATGATAAACAAAGAGGATTCTGGTCACTTCCTATTGTCCTCTTAACATTATTGTTTTGGCCACGTAATCATATAATAGAAGAAGAAGATAAATTGAGTCCATTTTTGCGAATGATAAGGAATGATTACACCACGGACGTTTATGATAATCCGTCAATAGCCGCAGTAATTGATTTCAAATGGAACGCGGCAAGAACATATTTCGTAAGACAAGCATTGACTTATCTTGTATTTGGAATAACATATACTGTTTTAACAAATTCGATTGATGGAATTGGCAAGCCTGAAGGATCTAAATCTGTCCTTGTTCTTGTAGTTATATTTTATTGGTTAGGATTTTATTTATTGAACACCGAAAGAGTTCAATTAAAATATGTAGGGTGGAGAAGATATTTTAGCGTTTACAATTTTTTTGATTTATTTTCGGTCATATTGCCATTCACGGTAGCTTCTATACAAGTTTATTATGGTATCTCAGCTTATATCAGAACCGAAGCTCATTCCATGTCTAGTTATTTTAATCTGGATGATAAAGTTTTCACAATTTTTAATTCATTTACGATTCTAACAATGTGGATAGAAATTTTTTTGGTGAGCCTTTTAATTTAATTGCTCTGACCTTTAAAGGCACATGATCTTATAAACTTATTCGTATGGTTGATTCTAGTTATTACGATACTTTGAGAAAACTGGAGCTTACATATATATTGTTATGAATATCTTACAAAACATAACATCCTTCTTGATCTTTATCTTGTTGGTCATCCTCGGATTTGGTCATACTATGTAAGCGGAGATAAAGAAATTTTGAATCATTTCGATTGAGAGAGATTTGTTAATGTATTTTTTTGATGTTTTTTTAAGGTTTGTTTTACTTAACAATACAGATCGAATCGGCATCACACCTAACGGTAACTCCTTCAAATTCTATGATGAAAATGGAGATCTTGAACCGGGATATTCTAATTTGGTGATAAATCAAGAATTTGACGTGACTAGTACATCAGATAATTATTTCACCAATTTTTTCAAGTCCATCGAATCAGTTTACTTTTGGACTAGCGGTCGTTGGGATCAATTAGATCAATGGAATTTCTGGCCAGTAGATGTTTTTTCTATCATTGCTAGTATCCTTCTTGTTACGATTTTACAAAATATGTTGATTGCAATCATGGCGTAAGTGTAAATTTCATTTCCCGTTTTTTTTATATCAATTTGTTTTTAATAAAATTAACTTTATTTAATTATTATAGTGGAGCGTACGATCAGGCAAAAGAAATTAGTAAGCATGCAGTGCTGAAATACCGAGCGGAATTGATCGCAGATTATGAAACATTTGATAAACCATTGGGAAATAGAAAAGGGGATCCTCGATATATTTTTTACATTGGAAAAACCGCTTATATTGAGAAATGGATAGAAAGATCCGAACAATATAGAGAAAGTTATAGGAATTTCTTGGAAGAAATCGATGGTGGTAATCCATGGTCCTATGAAGATAACGATGATCTAGATCGTTTTCAAACGCGTCATCAACATTCTAATTCTTATAACTATTCCTTTAGTATACATGATGAAGATCTTAATTCCCAAGAACATATCGTTCCATTATGTTTATATTGGTTTGTGGATGAAGATGATGATGAGATATTATTGAAACAACCAGATGTTAAAATGTTATATTGTAAAATTCAGTCCATGGAACAAGATGTGTCTGAAAAGTTACGTTTAATAGAAGAAAATGTTAAAAAATTAAGTTCATTGCAAAATGAAAAATAATTAATTCGTTGATATTGTAAATAATTTTGAGGAAATGTGATGTATGCAGATCACTGTGTCATTTTTTTTTATTTTTTTTGCATCATCATTGTATATTTTTAAATGAAATCTTTTATGTTAAATTATAATGGGGGTTCCTTTTTTTTTTTTTTTTTTTTTTTTTTTTGATATTCTCTGCGTATTTATCACTCTGTAAAAGAGTATTTTGGGGACAGAAATTTTCTTGTCAAAATCCTTATGTTTATATGCGTGTATTAAATAATAATTTTTAGTACAACAATCACCGATGAAGAAATACCTCGTATTTCATAATATCATGGTGTTGAGTGTACGACATAATGAATGCATAACAAATATAAGTTGTATACTAATATTTCTCGAGCATTGATTCGATCCTTGATAAATAAATGTAGTGTAGCTAGAGTCAGCTGTCAGCAGTGGTATTTTATTTCCATAATTTCATTCATTTTACTAAAAATAAAAGATTTTTGTTTTATCTTTAATCTGTGTACTTAAAAAGAAGTTATAGAAATGCGAAAAATTTAAAATGATTACGTTTTTTAATTTTATTTCAGCCATTTTACAAATTATAGTCATAAAATTTATTAAACTACATTATAGTAATTTGAAAATCACATGTATCAGATGTAATAATTATCATACAAGAAATTTTTTTTTCTTCATACTTAATCATCAACCATCATTTCTGATTCTTCCTCCCTCTCATCCATCATCATTTCCGTTATTTCGGATACTCCTTCAGTAATTAATCTTGTAAAGTCTCCGTATATTCCCATAAATTTCAGAAACCAATCTCCAAACACAATGCCAGTTCATGTTGTTAAGTCTCCTGAGACTCTTGAGGGAAGATTACTAACTTCATCTAAAAAATTCTTTATAGTCATCACTATAAAGCATTCACAACCCTTAGTAGCCTTCTTTAATTCTTTTTTAAATTCTTCCAATGTAAACGGTTTATGGACAGGTACACCTGATTCGGTAGCAGAACTGAATTTATACTGCTCTTCTGCATGTGGTGTTAGTGAGTCGGACGACAAACTACGCCTACAACCAATACGATGAAACGGCCCGTTGTGACATCTACATTTTCTTTCTTGTCATTTTTAGCATCTGCGATAACAGATACTTCTTTACGATCAATTAATTGATTCCAAGTGTACGGATTCTTGGGATCATCATAATCTTTCTTTAATAAGATAGATGCTGATCTATCTATAATTTACATTATGTTGGATGTCAATTTTCTTAAATAGTACTTCATTTGATGCCAAGAGACACCCAAAGTAAATTTCTTCAATAGTCATTTGACGAACTCCAATAAAATCCGCCAACCTGTATGTAATCAGATGCATATGTAAAATGAATTTTGGGAAAGATTCTTCATCTAGTCGGTTAAATGGATCCAAGATGATATCATCAAAGAAACCTAACTCTAAGTGTGAGACAAGAGAAGCAATTAGTACAAGAGGGGCTTTAGCTTTATATCGTGTGTTATCAATCTTTTCTAAAAAAAAATAAGACCCCCGGTTTCATGATCTTCCAAAGTACTATCATCCAGAGCAATATTCTTGGGGATCGGCTTTTGAGTATGAATCAAAAACATAAGCTTCAATATGGTATCTCATCTTTTCGTCTTGAAGATCTTGTCTCCCTCCGATACAATTTAACCAATTATCAATCGAAACTTTTGTTTTGCCCAATCAACAAGAACTTTCCAAATTTCTTTGACTTGTTCTACTGAATCAAAAGGTCCCTTCATTCTCAAAAGCTCCGAAGCACACTGTTCCATAATAACTGCAATTACTTTAATGGATTATCACGCGAAATTGGATTGATGAGTTCATTGGAAGCTTTCATTTTATGATCTATTACAGAATCCATAAAGTTAAGAGAATTTTCGATATCCATAGGTGACATATGTATATCATAAACATTGTAATCAGTCACGCTAAGATGACCTGTATTATCATATTCCCGGAGCTTTATTGGGGCAGTGCCTGTGCAGCCTGTGCAAATAGGGACAATCAAAATTTTCAAATCACAAACTTGTCGATCTGCCCAAGTTGAGAGGCGAAGCGCAAAATGTTGGCTATTAAATATTCGTCACGCTGGTATTCGTCTAGTTGTAAGAGGATTAAAAGTGGCTGCTGAGAATCTATAGAACAGGATTGTTGAATCGCTTGTAAGACTGTTATTAAATCAAAAGTAGAACTTTTCACTAATTCTTTAAAATATTGTAGAGATTCTTGCCGGTAGTTTTTTGTGAAATAATAAGATGCAATCGCCAATGCTAGGTAGTGACCTATACTGTTTACGTGTGAAGGATTACGAGGATAACGACCTAAAGATGGGTCACGTTGAGGTCGTTCATCAAAACGAATGAGGAAAGATTCTGGAAAAATCTGGACAAATATATGGATAGGTCTAAAACTACCATCCTTAATTTGTATAAGGTCTTTTATTATATTAATCGTCTCATATCCATGTCGCGTTTTACCTGTACCAGAACCACCGAGATGCTGATTTCCTTGGTAATCGTTTAGACGAGAGCTTTCATTCTCAAAGGCTTTTAAATTGATTTCTATTTTTTTTCTGATAAACTCTTGTATATGCGTTCTTTCGATATAATCATACATGGTTATAACAGGTTTGTCTTTATTTCCTATTATATTGGCAGTTTCGATAATTCTTTCCATTGTAAGAGGCTTTTCTTCTGAGAATAAATAGTGGTGGGTTAAGATATAAAACTAAAAACAATACTTAAGTAATTAACTGCGGATACCGTACCTTGTGAGACGCCTTGCTGAGAGGGACCTGCTTTCACGCGAAAAAAAAGATCGGACCAAATCGATATTTTGTTACTGCAAATTTCTAGTTCGAAAGGTAAAACATTAGACACTTACCAGTGGTTGTAGTTGCAACGACAGCGACGATGTGGATTTTATTTCTTGAAGGTTCATCTTTAATATAGTTTATAAAATCATATTCAAATTCCATAGGCACGCCTCCAAGCTTTCTAATATCGTCTTCAGTATTAAGCTTACTTTTATCAACGTCAACTTTTCAAAGATTCGATATGTCAGAAACTTCAGACTTTCCTTTACGAGAGATAAGTTCCGCGAGTTGTCCAACTTTTAATTTCTCAAATTGAACTTTTTTATTATTACCAAATTCGAAGAATTTCTGCTTGTCATCGTCTTCATAAACTTCAACATGGAAAACGCGTCTATCATCTAGACGTAAACAATTGTAAGAGTCAACCATTTCGATTGTGTGTCTGTAATGATAAAATATTTTAGAGAAAGAGAACTAGAAAAAGAGGTTGAGAAAACTAGAGGGTATATATTATACTTTTCTGAAAACATCGTGACTAATAGTAAATAGACTCTTGATAAACTCTGATTTAGTAGCTTGTACTACGAAAAATCAACAAACATAGCAAAAAAATAAATTTTAATACAGTAAGCGGAGAAACAATGATTAATTAGATTTTTGATCCTCCGACGAATTCTCAGGGTATTTATTAAAAAAAAGTGAATTAATTTTTAGGTCGCATGAGTGGTTGTACGATTGACCGTATTTGACTAATCAGTGTAGCTTTCTTAAGCGCAGTAACGTTCTGGATGATTTATTGACTCGTTTAAAAGAAGCCACATCCACATATCGCAGTTTGAAAGAAGTGTTGACGAAAAATTATTGAAGTACGGACGAGACATTTCGCAATTAAGTTATGAATGAAATATATTTTTCATATTTGCGGGGAAGCGACTCAAATCTTGCAGAGCTAATACCTAATTTTTTGTTCTTATTAGGCAGAGAAACTTTCAGTAAGTTTTACTAAGGTGAATTTATTTCTGACTCTGCATGTTCTAATTGTTCTAATTGTTCTATGCATAATTGATTAATATCAAATTTAAGTTAACTCTATCTAACATGGCGCAGAAAATGTCGATCAAAAACACCGTGAAAAATTTTTTTTACTTAAAATCGGAGTTTAAAATTAAAAATTTGGATTTACGAATCTCTGCACATAATATATATAATTATTAAGTTCAAATTGATAAATAAATTGGCTAATTGTCATTTGTTGATTTTAGTATATGGCGCAGCTCTTTTTTGTTCACAATTTGAACGTCAAAAAAAATTTCAATTGTTAAAAAATTTTCATATTATTCAAGTGTATGTAATTCTAATTGCTAGGGAAAGGGTACTGAGACTAGTCTCAACCCCTTTTTCCTAGCAAACCTCCCAAATATTTTTACGCTATTTATATTTTTTAAAAAAAAAAAAATTCTATGATTAAATATTTCAACTTTTCCGACCAAAATTATTTAATTCTTAAAAGAAATAAATTTTTCTTATAGCCGCCGCACTTACAGTATTTGCATAACTAAAAATAAGATTCGATTTTTTTATTCGATTTTCGATTGATTTAGAGTCATTACTTCGGAATTCTCCTATCTAAAGGTAAAAATAAACAACGCACAGTTATTTCTTTCTGACTGCCCCAGCGGTCCCATCAAAAAAATATACAAAATAAATTAGCGATTGGTAAATTTGTGGCACAGTAATTTGTAACGCAAATTTTTTGTACTGAAATGAATAATACTTGAATAATATTTGCATCATGATTTTATTTAATTTTATTTTTTCAGAGCCGGTTCGGTCGGTTCGGTTCCAGGTGCCACTCAGAACCGTTTATTTAGAATCGTCTATCGGTTCGGTTCGGTTCGACTCGCGAAACCGGAACCGAACCGTTAGAGTCGTCCTCATCCCTATCTATAAGCAGATATAATTCACTCCTGATGTGTTTGAATTCCTGGTGGAAATTTGGAAAATCTAAATTTAATTAATGTATAACCAAAGACTTAAAAAAATAATAAACTTGCTAATTTAATGCACTTTTTTCATTATCTGTATAAAATAAATTTATTTACTTCGGTATTTATATTAATCTTAAAAATTAGAGTGGAATCTGAGTTAAACAATAATCAAGTCGGGTCGAACAATAATCAGGCCGAGTCCTGTAAATATTATATTAACACGACCCGACCCTTACGGAGCATCGTAGCATTTAATACCTCAAATACTGCGGTAAGATCTTCATATCTTGACAATATGTATCACCCACCATTATATTTCTTTCTTTTATCGTTATACAAAATAATTTTTGGGTTGAAAAAAAGTTTTATTTTTTTTTAAAAAAACCAAATAATAACAATGTCTGATAGCGACAATAAAGGTAAAGTTTAATAGAAATGCCAAAAAAAAAAAATATTTCCACCAACAAAAATAACGGAAATAAAGCTTAGCAAATGAATATATTTGACGGTTAGATGATTTTTTAAAAAAAAATTATTTCACAAATTCACATTAGAGTCATTTTCGGATGTTATGAAAGTATTTTCATTAGAAGAAATAGAAGATATTATTATATCTTATAATAATTCATTAATTATACTCATTTTTATTCATTATTTTATCAAATAAACTTAGAATCAGCTTCATGTGATGAAGGTAAACATAAATAATTAACCAAAACCACGAAAATTGTAACGCTAAACTAACCTTGTGTGATGAAATTAAATATAATAACTATAATACTGCAATTTGTTAATTATATTTTTACTTAATTTAAATTTTAAATATAGGATTAGTTCCGAGTGATGATGAAGGTAAATACAATAACAAATATATGTATTTAACAAATATTATAATTT